CCCCAGCCTGCAGCCAGTTTATTTATATTAGAGAGGCTATCTTTCCTTCAGAGAAAGTATTTGGCCCCTTTGTCAAAGATAAGGTTGTTAAATGTACCTGGAGCTGTTTTGGCTTTTTTGAGATAGGGTCTAACTATGTAGTTCAGACTGGCCTTGAACTCACCATGTAGCCTACTGGCCCCAAACTCACAGTGATCCTATCATCTCAGGCTCCAAAGTGCTGGAATTACAAGTGTGCACCACCACACCCAGCTCCATGCTGTTTTTAACATGGTAGCTTTGTAGTATAATTTCAAATCAGGGATTGTGATGCTCTCTGCCTCGGCTTTGCTTCCCAGAATTGCTTTGGCTACTCTAGATGTCTTCTGATTCCAAATACATTTTAATATTTTTGCTGTAATTCTATGAGGAATACTATTGGTATCTGGATTGGGATTGTGTTGATTCTGTGTAACAGTTTTGGAAGTATGGCTATTTTCACCATAGTGATTCTGCCTACCCCAGGAACAGGGGATAGCCTTCTATTTTCTGGTGTCCTCTTCCATCTCCTTTTTCAGAGTACTACAAATTTTTATTGTAGAGGTCTTTTACTTCTTTGGTAGGTTAATTCCTAAGTATTTTCTTTTCTTTCTTTGGGTGGTAATGATAGTGCTGGGGATTGAACTCAGGGCCTCATGTGCATTTAGGCAGTCACCATTTTTCCTAATATTATGAAAGGTATTGTTTCCCTAATATCTTTCTCAGTGCATTTGTTATTCATGTACAAAATGCTATTGATTTTTTTTTTTTGTCTTTTTCGGTACCAGGGATTGAACTCATGACTGCACAATTGCAAGGCAGGTGCTTATGCCACTGAGCTAAATCCCCAGCCCTAATGCTATTGATTTTTGAGTGTTGACTTTGTATCCTGGTACACTACTGAATTTGGTTATTAATTCTAGGAGTCTTTCGGTGAAGTTTTTGGGGTCTATGTAGAGAATCAGGTCATCTGCAAATAATGACAATTTAACTTCTTTCTTTTCTGTGTCCCTTTTATTTCTTTCTCTTGTCTAATTGGTCTGACTAATGTTTCTCACTAAATTGCTAAATTGTCCGGGTTGAGCTTGAGTTTTCAATCCTCTTGCCTCGACGGCCTCCCCGAGTGCTAGAATTACAGGCTTGTGCCTCTGCACTCAGCTTTCTTAATCTCTTACTTGCTTTTCAGCTATGTGAACTCATGTAAATTTTCCCTTTTGGAACCAGTGCCTGGAAGGTCAGGGGAAAATGTGAAGCCAAACATGCTATTAGCCCTTTATCAGGCTTGCTTTTTTCCCTCTCATTTATGTTAACTTCATCCTAGCTGCTTCCTTCCTGTTCCTTAGGAAAGCTGTAAGTCAAAATCACATTTAGGGGTTCTGCTGTGCCTAAGTGTGGGGTGCACTCTACTGCCACAGTGCTAGCCACAGGACTCAGCCTGGAGATGCTTTGCAGGGAGGTGAGTGCCTTGGGACATTGCTCTCTCTGATCATCCTCCCTTCCATTTTCTCTTCTGCCTTCCTGACTCTGCTGTGGATTGGCTTTTCAGCCTCTTGAATTCTTGCAGGCTTGATTTAACCACGAGTGTGCTCCCTCTTTCCTTCCCACAAGCTGGGGCTTGAGACAATCAACAGAGTTGTGCAAACAAGTGCAGGTCCGTGGGAGGGAAGAGCAACGATGGTGACGAAGGCACCATCACCCCTGAAGGATGCAAAGGGCAGAGCTTCATCCAGCAAAGAGAGGCGTCTGCTTTGTTCCTTCTGCTGCCATCTTCCTGGGTCTTTCTGTCCCAGCGGCGTAGGTCTACCAGGAATAATGCCGTCTCATGTTTTTTCTCATTCCCACTCTTGGGAGGTTCTATTTTCCAGGATAGTTATATGACTTTTTATTCCAACACTTTTAGTCATAGAATATCATGGTTTTTATTTCTAAGAATTGGGTCTGATACTCTATTTCTTTCTGACAGTACTTTTTTATTTTAAAGAAGCAACATGTGCTCACCTTTCTCAAAGAAATCAGGTTTTTCTTTCCTTCCTTTCTACTTTTATAAATTCTACTTCCTCCAGAGTTATTTTTCATTTTGTATGTATGTAGGATACAAAAACATACCTAAACAAGTAGAAATTCAACTTCTAGGAAGCCCACGGGGCACACACCTGCAGTCTTGGCAATGAGGCTGAAGCAGAAGGAGTCCAAGTTTAAGACCAGCCTGGGAAATTTAGAGACTTAGAATTTATCTTTTTTTTTTTTTATCGGTACCAGGGATCAAACTCATGACCGCCTGCTTGCATAAGCTCAGGTGCTTATGCCGCTGAGCTAAATCCCCAGCCCTAGAATTTATCTTGAAATAATAGTTTTAAAAGTTTAAAATACATAAAGGGCTGAAATGTAAACTCAGTGTGAAGGTCCAGGGCTAAAGCCCCATATCAAAAGTCGGGGGGAGTTCAGGGTCATTAATCGGCTTTTTCAGTGACTCGATTATTTATCCTTTGCCCTTTGTCTCTCTGCTCTTTTACCACAGTGTTGTCATCATCCTGGGCCCAGTTCCTCTCAGAGGTGTGGGATGTTTTCTTAGTTATGTCTGGTGGAGAAATCACTGTCCCTGGTTCTCTTTTTCTTTTTTTTTCTTTTTTTTTTTTTTTTTGGTCTTTTTGTAGCCCAGGCTGGCCTTGAACTCAAACTCACAATGATCCTCCTGCCTCAGCCTCCCAAGTGCTGGGACTACAAGTGTCTGCTATCATGCCCAGCAAGGAGAGATTTTCCAAAGGGCCTCCTTTCCAGGGAAACATACCCTTTCATAGGTAGGGGGATGCGGCAGTTTTAGATCAGTCAGCTTCCTCTGGAAGATGAAGGAGGGGTGAGCAACCCCAATGTGTATGGCGGGGAGATCTGTGCAAACTGAGGTTCTGCGGAGAAGGAGGCGGGCAGAATGGATAGTGGGGCTGGTTTACTTTGGTGCTTTCCACCCGTATTGCAGGGTTTCGTTGAACCCTGTACTACTTGGGACTGATTGAGGAACTGTGGATGGAGCTCAATGATAATTTGCCTAGCAAATGTGTGAGGTCCTGGGTTTGATTTCTAGCACCAGAAAGGGAACTAAAGCAAACAAAAATGGCTAATTAGGTCTTTTGGTTCTAGAATAAGACTTTCCAAATTAAAGGCTAAACTCTTCTGTTTGTTTTTGACACTCTCCGGCATAGCGGAAACTGAACTCAAGGGCAGACTCAACCACGAGTTACACCCTCAGCTCTGATTTCTTTCTTCCTTTCTTTTAAAGAAAATCTCTCTGAGTGATATCAGACTTTTCATCAGCAAAATCCTACAAGAAAATGAAACAATGTTTTCTACATTGTTAGGAAAAATGAGGAGTCTAGAATTCTTTATTAATCAGATGTGAGGATGTAATAAAGTTATTTGGGTGTGAGAATACTTAGAAAGTTTGCCCACTTCTTATGAAGGTCACTACCTTAGGCAGCGACTAGAGGATGTGCAAAACCCAGGGGATGGACCCTGCAAGAGGGAGTCTCCGGGTGTAACAGACAGAAGATTCACAGCGGGGAGAGAGGGAAGCAGCTGTGTAGAAACAGGGAACAGCAAGGGAGGAGCTGAGCTACCCAGGACTGAGAAATTCGGAAAACCTGTCAGAAATTCTGGGAAAAAATGAGAAGATGGGTCGGCAAGGATAAATAATCATTGGAAATTATTGGCTGTGCACTGAATAATATTTATATAGTCATAAAAGGGAAAAAAGAGAAATACTTTTCCATTTGTAAACTCAAACTCTGAGCAGATAGCACTGATCTAGAATATCTGAGGCAATATAAGTATTGTTTGTTTTTGTTAATGTGATACCCACTTGCCACATGTGGTTTTTGAGTACTTGAAATGTAGCTGGCTAGCTGCAAATGAAGTTTTGAATTCCAAGTCTGTTTGTTTTGTGGTAGTAAGAACTGAATACGGGTCCTTTGTACTAATCTACATCTTTAGCCCTTTAAATTTTTATTTTTAATACTTTTTTTTAAACTAGGAATCAAACTCAGAACTTTGCACTTGCCAGGCAGACACTGTGCCACTGAGCTATATCCCCAGGCTTAAAATTTTATTTTTAGCCAGGTGTGGTGGTGTACACCTACCTGTAATCCCAGCACTCAGGAGGCTGAGACAAGAAGATCATTGCAAGTTCAAGACTAGCCTGGGCTACAAAGTGAGCTCAAGGTCAGCCTGATTTGTATAGCAAGACCTTGTCTCAAAAAGACAAAAATAAGTAAATTAATAAATAAATAATTTGAAAAATTATTTTCAGGGTCTCAGAAAGTTGCTCAGTTGCACAGGTCAGCTTTGATTTAAAATTCTCCTGCCTCAGGGCTGGGGATTTAGCTCAGCAGCATAAGCACCTGCCTTGCAAGCATACAGTCATGAGTTCGATCCCCGGTACTGGTAAAAAAAATATAATAAAAAAAAAAAATCTTGCTGTATCTTGCAAGCAGGCAGTCGTGAGTTTGATCCCTGGTACCGATAAAAACGAAAAAGCCCCCCCCCCCGCCCAAAAAATAAATAAAATAAAATTCTCCTGCCTCAGCCTCTTAGAGTGCTGGAAAACAAGGATGAGCTACCATGCTCAGTTCCTGTATTTTAAATGTTTAGAATTATTTTTCATTGACATTAATAATTGTGCATATTTATGGGATACAGTGTGATGTTCTGATACATGTATACAATGTATGGTGAGTAAATCAGAGCAATTAGCATATCTATCAACACAGGGAGACCCCATCTCAATATAAAACAAAACAAAAATCCGAACGTAACCCCCTTCAAACTACAAATCCTTTCTTCTAGCTATTTGAAATATACAATGCATCATTGCTAACTACAGTCACCTACTATGTCATAAAACGCTAGGACTCACTCTTCTCATCTAGCAGCCTGTTCTCCTGGACCCATTTCTCTCTCCTCCTAACTTCTGGTAGGCACTGTTCTTTCTACTTCTGTTCCCTCAATTATTTTGTTTTTCAAATATAAGTGAGAACACGTACTTGCCTTTCCATGCGTGGCTTATTTCACTTCACATATTATTCTCTGGGCTCATTCATGCTTTTGCAAATGACATGGTCTCAGTGTAGCCATTTGTCCACCCTTGCTGTTGATTCTTTATCTTGAACATTGTGAACAATGCTGTGACAAACAGGGGAGCGCCCTGGCCCCTTAGATTGTGCCCACAGGTTCTTTTGTGAGTCAGTGCAGAAGAGGAGACACAACAAGACTGGGGCTGGAGGCAAATCTGAGGGGAGCCAGGCCTCAAGATGGAGACAGGACAGCCAGGCATACAAGCCTCACCAGGGATAACCTGAAGCTTGAAACGATGCCTGGTCCAGTGAGTCCACCAAGGCCTCAGACACATAGGTGAGTGACCAAAGCATCTAGACCCCACTCTGGTCCCTTTCTAGGAATGCCTAATGATGTTCCCATGGCCCCCAACTATGTGCCTCATTTCCCTATTGGATCAATATAAGGTAAATCAGCCAGGTGTGTGGTGCATGCCTGTAATCTCAGCATTTGGGAGACTGAGACAAGAGGATCATTGTGAGTTTGAAACCAGCCTGGACTACAAAGTGAGTTCAAGTCTAGCCTGAACTGCACAGTGAGACCATGTCTCAAAAACAAAAACAAAAAATTAGCTAAATTTATGATGCTATAGGCTGGTTGTAGTAGTTGGACCCATGTTGGAATTAGCACGCTGTTGGGCCCACACTGTGATTTTGCTGTATACAATATCCTTGGACAAGGCACCCCAGTGGCCACCCACTCAGGACCCCTCTTGGAAATCTAGGAGCTATTCTTATTTGCAGTAAAACTTACCTAACCTCCTTTGCTCTGAGACTTCATTCCTCTTGAAGTTGTGAGTCCACAAATTCAGCACATCTGATGTTTAACAGTTTGGGAGTTCTCTGTCACAAAAGGAAACCATTTACTTTGAGGAAAAGGAAAAAGAATTTATTCAAAGCTAGTTCTGAGATGAAGGAGCCCATTTACCTCAAATCACCGTCTCCTCATGTCAGGTGAATTGAGGACTTTTGTAGCAAGCAATAGAGGAGCAGGAACACAACAAAACAAATGCTCCATTGCTTTCATGTCTGCCTTCCTTGCCTAAGGGCACAGAGAATGAATCTGGCTTTGGACTGTTCCCCCTTCTGTCAACTCCTGTTTCCCTTGGGTCTAGCTAGGAATAGCCCTGCAAGACCTTCAGGGGAACTGAGATCTGGAAAGAGCAGTGTGAGACTCTTGGTGGCGGCATGGAGGCCTCTCATGACCTCTAAAGGCCTCCTCCAGGCTGGCAGCCCAGTGCGGCCATCTTGTCTCGAGGTACCACCCATGTCCATAGCCCTCGTGTGGGCCTCACCACCCTCTGGCCTTCTTCCTTGTCTTGGCCAGAGAAGCTTTCAGTCAGTAAGCATCATGGAGCATGTGGTATTTACCAAGTGCTCTGGTCACAGAACTCACATTCACATTTGAGCAAAAATTTAAGAGAAAGACAGCCATTTATGTATCTGAGTGAAGAGCCTCTGGCAGGCACTACAGGCAGCACAAAGGTCCTGAGGCATTTTCAATCTCCCAGGAATAAAATGGAGGCCTGGCTGGCAGCACAGAGGCACTGCGGATACAAAAAGTAGGGAGGGAGTCAGAGCAGAGCCAACTTCTGCTTTACCCTCTGTGGACTGGGAACTGTGCTGGGGTTTAGCTCGGGGGATGATATCACGCTTTACTCAGTTCCGTCTGGTTGGCTGAGGGAAGCAGGCTGAAGAAGGATGAGGTCACACACAGCAGGGACCGGACTGGAGTCACAGTCACAGAAGGGAAGATAGATGGAGGCTTGGGCCAAGGGGTAGAAGTAAAGCGAAGAGCAGCAGTCCGGTTCTAAATCTTTTTTTTGGCCTTTTTCTTTTTTATCGGTACCAGGGATCGAACTCACGACCACACACCTGCAAGGCAGGCGCTTATGCCCCTGAGCTAAATCCCCAGCCCCCATCTTGCTGATTTTTTAGCATCCTGTTTTACTTTGAAAAAACCAAACTTGTATAGAAAAATTCTAAGAATAATACAAGGAATACCATAGACCAGTGATGACGAACTTTTAGAGCTTCAAATAACAAACAGCTGGCTTTGGCCTGCCTGCTATTGGTTCCCCACCACTGCTGTGGACCCTTCAGTACCTATAAGCATCTTCAATATACGCTGTACTTTTATCTCCTGTGTTTACTTTACTAGTATTATTGCTGGTACTATTATTATTATTCTACAGGGGATCAGCTGAACTCAGGCCTTGTACATGGTAGGATAGTGCCGTATCACTGAGTTTATATCTCCAGCTTTTTGATTTTGTTTTGACACAGGGCCTCCCAAAGTTGTCCAGGCCGACTGGATTTGCAATCCTCCTGCTTCAGCCTCTGAGTAGCTGGGTTACAGGGGTGTACCATCATGCCCAACCTGTTTTCTGTTGAACAATTAAAGAGGAAATGTACCAGTCTTGTGATCACTTACTCCTACACTTTTTTTCTTTTTGGTTCTGGGAGTGAAACTCAGCACCTTGTGCTTGCCAAGCAGGCGCTTATGCCACTGAGTTGTATCCTTGGCCCCTACTCCTACATACTTTTAAATGTGTATTTCCTAAGAAAAAAAGTAATTCCTTTCATAGTCATCATTTACCTCTCCAATTCATGAAGGCTAGTATTCAATACTAATATGTATTCTATGATCAATATTTAAATTTTGCTAATTATCTTAATAGTATCTTTCATAATACCCTATCCCTTCATATATGATTCCAAACTGCTGTTACCTGTCACATATCTTCACTTTTTTTTTTTTTTGTCTTTTTCATTTACATTTTTATCGGGACCGGGGATTGAACTCACGACCGCCTGCTTGCAAGGCAGGTGCTTATGCCGCTGAGCTAAATCCCCAGCCCCATATCTTCACTTTTTTTAAGACCTGGAACAATGACCTAACCTCTCTTTGTCCTAATACTGACATTTTTGAACAGTACAAGCTAATTGTTTTGTAAAAGTTCTTTCAATTAGAGTTTGCCTGTTATTTCTTCCCTCTTCCTCTCTCCCTTCCTTCTTTCTTTCTACCTTTCCTTTTTTTTTTGTTCGTTTGTTCCTTCCTTCCTTTCTTCCTTTTAATGAGGTCTCAGCATGGTGGTACTTCTCTGTAATCTCAGCATTCTAGAAGGCTGAGGCAGGAGGATTGCAAATTCAAGTCCAGCACAGATGTATCAAGATCCTAAAATAAGATAAAATGAAATAAAATAAAATAAGGCACTAGGTTTAGTTTAGTGCAATGGTCCTGGGATCAATCCTCAGTATTGGGGTTTTGGGGAAGAGAGGAGATCTTATTGTGCTGACTAATCTGGTCCCAAATTGCTAGGAGCAACTGCCTCAGTTTAGTTAAGGATCTCCTATGGTGAATGGCTCTATAGTGATCCCCAATTCCTTGTAGCTTAGTTAGGGGTTCAACAGGCTGCAATAGTTTTCAGTACCCCAGTCAGAGCTAGGTGCTTCCCTGGGGCCTGCTGTTTCCTGTAAAGTCTTGGGGGAGGGGGGCTGGGGATTTAGCTCAGTGGCATAAGCGCCTGCCTTGCAAGCAGGCAGTCGTGAGTTCGATCCCTGGTACCGATAAAAAGGAAAAAGACAAAAAAAAAAAAAAAAATAAGTCTTGGGGGAGGAAATGCACCCCCAGCTCCCAACCAAATAACTTGGAGACTGCAAAAGCAAAGGAAACCACCCTCCTAGGCCCCCTCAATTCTCAGGCACACATTCTTATCCTAACAGCTCCGACCCCAGCTAAGATGCAAGAATTTCCATTCTGGGCTCCCTACATTCTTTCTTGCCTAACCCAAGCTCTGGGGCCCCAGCCTCACCTCAGGGTCTCAAGGCCCCACCCTGAGAGGAGAAGGGTGCAGCAGGATGCAGGGTGGGGTGGGTGGAGCCAAAGCCCACTTCCTTTCCCCTTGAGGCCCAGTTAGTTCCCCCAGTGGTGCCAGAGCTTCGGCAGGAGTTGGAGTGGTTGGACCCAGCCCTGTGCCTTATCACTTAAACTGGTAAGAAAGTGTGATGTAGGGGGGACAGGGGTCTGGGGCAGGGGCTGGGAATGCGCTTGTGTCTTGAACAGACCTGACAGGTGATGAGAAGAGAGGATCATGGTCACTGGGCTGAGTGGGACCAGCAAGGCCAAGGGGACATGGTCACTGCGGGAGCCTCAACACCAGGAGGGCATGGGTTGGGCTGATGCGGTGCTGCCACATCTGGCCCCTTGTTGCTTCTGATAATAGAAAAACGAGGGTGGAAAAAGCCGTTAAACCGCAGCTGGGCCTGGCAGTTGGCAGGGAAGTGGGCAGAAGGCAAGGCCTGGCCAGGTCCTCCCCCCAGCCCGTGTTTTCTGTTTCTTCAGCTTCCCCAGCTTGGGTCCCAACTCCTGGTTCACATCTGCTGCTCTGGAAATGGCCCTGCCACTTCTCTTCAGTGGGAGCTTCTGGGTTCTGCTGGTGAGTCTAGTCTTATCGATAACCACCTTGAACAATTCCACTGCTTTGGTTGTGGACTCAGTGACCTCCACAACACTAGAGATGGGAACCTTTTTAGAGCACAGCACAAGCAATGGGGTCTTGACCCCAACTCCCTCAACTGCCTTTAGCGACAATGAAGAGTCCTCTCTCGAGATTTCTGTTGGTGCCAGTACTGGTCCTACTGTGTCTAAGCCAATGCCCTCCAAGAAAGCTTCAACCATAAAGCCATTAGTGCCTCTGGAAATTGTTAATGGAACCAGTGACCCTGCAATCCCCATAAGAGTAAACACTCAGGAATACCGCACTGTGACAGGTGGAGCCACGACATTTAACTCTCTGGAAACCTCTGCTAGGATCAATGAGACCAATACAACAAGCTCTCCAGAGCCCTCCAGTGGGGCCAGTGGACTCCCTATCACCGATGCAACAAGCTCTCTGGAGACCTCCAGTGGGGCCAGTGGACCCCCTGTCACCAACACAACAAGCTCTCCAGAGCCCTCCGGTGGGGCCAGTGGACTCCCTGTCACCAGTGCAACAAGCTCTCTGGAGACCTCCAGTGGGGCCAGTGGACCCCCTGTCACCAACGCAACAAGCTCTCCAGAGCCCTCCGGTGGGGCCAGTGGACCCCCTGTCACCAACGCAACAAGCTCTCCAGAGCCCTCCAGTGGGGTCAGTGGACCTCCTGTCACCACGACAATCAGCTCCCTGGTGACCTCCAATGCAGCCAGCAGCTCCTCAGTCTCCATCACGAAAGTATCCATGGGGACCACCCCAAAGCTCTCTACAGATATGAGCACAAGGTCCCCAGACCAGGAACGGAAAGGCATGCTGCTGGTGCCCCTGCTGGTGGCCCTGCTGGTCGTCGTGGTGCTTGTGGCATTCCTCCTGCTGTGGCGTCAGCGGCAGAAGCGGCGCACAGGAGTCCTGACACTGAGCAGTGGAAAGCACAATGGGGTGGTGGATGCCTGGGCTGGGCCAGCCCAGGTCCATGAAGAGGAAGCCCTGACAGAAGCAGTAGCGGGAGCTGGGGGTGAGAAGGGCTGTGGGGTCCCTGAGACAGAGGGGTCTGCCCGGCGGCCCACACTTACCACTTTCTTCAGCAGACGAAAGTCTCACCAGGGCTCCTTGGCAATGGAGGAGCTGAAGTCCAGCCTAGGGCCTGGCCTGAAGGCCGAGGAGGAGCCGCTGGTGGGCAGTGAAGATGAGGCTACGGAAGGCGCAGCCTCTAAGGGCCCCAACATGGGGGATGGGGTGGCACCTCAGCGCCTATGAGCAAGGAGGACCTTGCCGGTTCCACCAACCTCCCTCTGAGCTTTGCTTCCAACCCCATCCTCACCAGCACCCTCAGGATCTCTCTCAGCATCCTCCTCACTTGGAGTGGCTGCCTGGTTTCTCAGCCCTGGGCTCTCCAGCCAGCATCCTCACCTGGCACCTACATCTAGACCTGAGCCACAGCCTGCTCCTGCTGTCTGCAGACCAACTAAATCAGCCTTCTCCATGAATCCATTCAGTTCCCTCTCCGTCTATCTTCATCCTGCGACTGAGTTGCTGAATCTTTAGGATGCCACACTTACTGACCCATGACTTCTCCAAGGGTCCCAGCTGGGGATACCAACATTTGGGAAGAAGGAAATGACAAATCTGGCCAACTCCCCAGGATGAAGCTTTGAAAAGTACAAGGGGTCCTGTGTTGGGACATCCTAAAGGGCAGCCCATGTCTGTTGGGACTTTGACTCTCTGGGTGGCTCCCTCTGGCCACCCTAGGGCCTTGGCTGGGTGGGGCTGCCCATCTGTGCTCTCAGGAAAGCCTGTGACCTTCTCCAGAGCCCCAGCACCCAGGACTGACTTTGCTCTACCTCAGGGACTATGGCTGGGTAGGGCACTTTGCCACTTCTCCCAAGAGAGGAGAGGAGTCCTGGCCGGGGGTGGTTCTTAGGGGGGTTGACATCTGCGACATAGCACTCCTGGGTGTGGTCTGTATGCAAGAGGTGTCAGTGTTTAAGGGTAGTGATGATTACAGACTACAAAGGGGGGCAGAGGCTGAGGAGGGCTGCCCCCAGTGTGGGGTACATGGGCCCACTAAGAATGCAGGTGTCTTCACCTTTGCTCAGATGGGGCACACAGATGGGAAACTTTAACTCAGTCTGACAGTCTAAGAATACAGGCTTAACAAGGCTGGGCATGGTGGCACATACCTGTGATCCTAGCACTCTGGAGACTGAGCTAAAATAAAAAAAGCCCTTGAAATGTAGCTTAGCGTGAAGGCGTAAGTTTGAGGCCAGCCTGAACTATGTAGCAAGTCCTGTTTCAAAAAACGAGAGAGAAAGGGGCTGGGGATTTAGCTCAGCGGCATAAGCGCCTGCCTTGCAAGCAGGCAGTCGTGAGTCCGATCCCGGGTACCGATAAAAAGGAAAAAGACAAAAAAAAAAAAAAAAAAAAAAAAAAACAACAACAACAAAAGGAAAAAAAAAAAAAAAAAAAAACGAGAGAGAGGGGAGTTAGAGTATGAATACACATGAGTGCAGGTTTCTCAGAAAGACGGGATGTGTGATGGGCACAGCCTCTTCATCTCAGCCACAACATCCCCTTTTCAAAGGCACACTCACTCCAACACAAACATGCGCATATACACACACACAGGCAGGAGAAGGGGCTGTGCCCCAGCAGAGGGACTGGGGGTTCTGGGGGTTCTAAGTCCCCTTGCTGATGCTTTGGTCTTGCTGACATCTCCATTTTTTGGGGGGGGGGGGTTTGGTACTGAGGATTGAACTCAGGATCTTGTGCTTGCCACTGAGCTATGTCTCTGCCCCTCCATATTCAATTGGTTGGCCTGTGTCTCCTCTTCCATCCCAGTAATGGAGCTCCTTTCCTTCTCCCAAGTTAGATGAACAGAGGAGATCTGCCAGGCCAAGCTGCTGCCCAATGGGGGCAGATACAAAGCCCAAAGGTGTTTCCCCAGGGCAAAGGGGAAATTTGCACAGAGGAAGTTATTGAGTCAGAGAGTGCAGTTACTGAGATGACTGACCTACAAAAAGAGATGCAGACCATGTGAGTGTGACCATGTTCTCTTGTGGCCTGGACAGGAGGGGTGGCGGAGGTGGGTCAGTTGACAGAGTGGGAGGAGGGAGGAGAGAGAAGGGACAGGAATGTCCACAGATTCACTGGCGACCACATCAGACTGTGCCCCCACCCCGTCACCCTCTCCCAGCCTCTGGTCCCGGGCGAGGGCTGAGCCAAGCTGATCTGGAAAAATAGCCTCTGTTGCCAGATTGGCACCCTGGCCAAGATGAGGTTTCTTCCTTCTTCTATCAAGGTGCTGTTGGGACAAACCGAGGCCCTGGAACAGCAAAAATGAGTGGCAGAAGTCCTTGGGATACAGCACTAGGGTCTCAGATTTGTCAAAACTAACTGAACTCCAGTTGCAGGTTTAGGAAATACTGTCACCAAATGGAGAGACTGTCAGCTCCATCTCCCTCTCTTTTGGCAGAGGTAGTCATTTTTAGAATCCTGAAGGAAGCAGGGGTGGAGAAGGCACCCCAACAATGATTTCATAGTCCACGAATGTCAAATATTATGTATGAGTATTAAAATAGAGGCACGGGCAATTTCACCAAAAGAAACAAAAGGCACACTGCTCCTGACGGCAAGTAGGGTGCTTCATTGGACAGCTCATCTCCGGGGCTTTGTCACCTTCACTGCCATCTGTGGTGGCCACTGTGCCCAGCATGCAGCTGGTCCTCAATGAATAATCACTTGAGTAATCCCTACAAGGCTGTTCCATTTTTCCTGCCTTGCTACTGGGATTGATTCTTAAGCCTTCATGCTAAGCTACATTTCAAGGGCTTTTTTATTTTTTATTTTGAAACAGGGCCTCAGTAAGTAGCTAAATTACCCAGGCTGGGCTCAAACTTGTGATCCTCCTACTCAGCCTCCCAGAGTTCTGGATTTCAGAGATTCTGAAGTTTAAGAAAGATTATGCCAGGTTGGGAAAAGCAAAGAACATTTGAGAAAGCATGGTGAATGCAAAAACCCAGTGAGAAAATGGAGCGGCTGGGTGTGGTGGCACACTCCTATAATCCCAGCACTTGGGAGGCTGAGGTAGGAAGTCTGCTGAGAGTTTGAGACCACTTGGGCTTCAAAGTGAGTTCAAGACCAGCCTGAACTGCATAGTGAGACTCTGTCTCAAGAAAACAAAAAAAAAAAAAAAAAAAAGTATACTGTTATGCTTGTTACAGTCACCAAAAATCATGTTTTCAAAAACTACATGAAGACTTTGGAAAATACCTGCAATACAATGTTAGGGGAAAATAAAAGCAAGTTCTTAATCTGTAAATACGTTATGTTTCTAGTTTTGTAATAAAAATTTAAAAACATACACATTTGTTAGAAAAAAAATCCAACATGTTTACTTATGCTAGTTATCTATAAGGTCATGGGTTTAAGTGTGATTTTTATTTTGTTTATACCTTATTGTATTTTCCTAATTTTGTACAACAAACATCTGTTACTTTTATAATCAGGGGAAAAAAGTTCCATGAGGTGGCCTGGGAGTGTCTGCTATGAGGAGAATTGTGGGGGACGAGTTTGATTTATGGGGTACAGGGCTGGAGAATGTGAATTTATCTCTCTGAGTCCTGGGGAGGTCAGCAGACTGCTTCCGGGGCTGCAGTCAGTGGTGAAGACCAGCCTTTGGTCTGATTGCCTCAGGAACATGCCTTGGAAACATCCTCAGCCCTCTCCCAGTCTTGATCATGGATGCCAACTGCAGCTGCCCCTTTTCCCACTGACCCCTGGGCCGTCCTCCTCTCCAGCCTCTGTCACGCCTGCCCTGGGTCCTGCTATGGCTTCCCTTCTTTTTTTTTTTTTGTCTTTTTCGTTTTTACCGGTACCAGGGATCGAACTCACGACTGCCTGCTTGCAAGGCAGGCGCTTATGCCGCTGAGCTAAATCCCCAGCCCCTGGCTTCCCTTCTTAACCCCCATTCCTCCCAAACTCTGCTTAAGAAGTTCTCAGGATCCTCCTCCTCCTGTTTCTTCATTTTATCTTCTTCCTCTTTTCAAGTTCTTATTTATTTCGTACACACTTGCAGTATGTAATGATTACATATGGTCCATATACATAACACAGCTTAATTCTTTTTATGTCCACTTCATCTCTTTATTTTTTCAAGTAGCAATAATCATGCCTCAAATAAACCATACCACCACTGCACAAAGCTTATTTTATTTTTTAGTTAACATGCAATAACTATTCAAATTTATGGGAATATAATGTGATATTTTGATACATGTACACAATGTGTAATAATCAAATCAGGAGAATTAGCATATCTATCAACTCAAACATTTGTCATTATTTTTCTTCTAGCTAGTTTTGAGATATGGAATGTATAGTCACACTATAATCCCAGAATATATTCCTGTCGCCATTCTTTGTAACCCTTGATCAGCCTCTCTCCAACCCTCTCTTCTCCCATGCCGAATGATCATTATTCTACTTTCTGTTTCTGTGAGGTTGGCTTGTTTAGATTCCACAGGCGTGAAACCATGTAGCCCTGGATTTTCTGTGCCTGGCTTATTTTACTCGGCATGAGTCAATGGATGAGAAAGGTCTTGAGAAGTCTATCAGCACAATGCACCAACAGGAAAGGGGCCTCCACACGTGATTCTAAGAACTTTCCATTCCTAAAACTCCTTTTTACCCCACCCACTTTTCCTTGTAACCAAGTTCACTTATGTTGTCTCCATTGACAGGATTTCATGTACTGAAAGAGCATTTCAAATACTGAATGGTATTCCATTGTGTATATATTCCATCCTCCTATCGATGCGCCCTTGGAACTCAATGAACAAAGCACATCAGACTGAAAAATAGGCAAAAGATCCAAATCAGCATTTCTCAAAAGAGGCTAGATAGGTATATGAAAAAAATCACTTATCGTCAAGGAAATGTAAATCAAAACCACAAGAAGATAGGGCCTCACTGCAGACAGAATGACTATTAACAAAAAGATAAGAGATAACAGAGCTGGGCATAGTTGTACGTGCCTATAATGCCAGGACTCAGGAGGCTAAGATGGGGAGATCATTATGAATTCAAGGCCAGCCTATACTACACAGTGAGACCCTGTCTCAAAAAAAAAAAAAAAAAAAAAAAAGAAAAAAAGTAGGTACTGGATGTGGAAATGGTGAGACTATAAATTATTATAGTCATTATATAAAACAGTGTGGAGGTTCCTCAAAAAGTTAAGAATAAGGCTGCATATGACCCAGCAATCCCACATTGCACATCCCAGCAATACCACAGGAAGTGACCCCATCATTTCAGACACCGCATACCCACATTTACTGCAGCCTTAGTCACAATAGCCTAGATATAAAATCAACCAAGTCTGCTTCTAAAAGGTGGCTTTGTCCAGGGCTTCATCTGCACCCCAAAAGTCATCTGGGTAGAGCTCTTCTTTCTAAGCATAGCATAGGGGACCCCTCAAGAGCTGGCCCTGCCTTCTCCCTGCCAGGTCAGCCGTTGGCCCAAACTTTCTGTCTCCTCCATCCACGTGGGATTCCTCCTGCCCCTTGAAGAAGTCTGTGTGCTTTTATGGGAGGGAGGAGCGAGAAGGAGGTTTGTAGTTTAATACGTTTTCTGCGTTTTAAAAATTTTTTCTAGTACCTTTTACATATACATAATGATCACATTCAATATAGGGAATTTGTTTCTGTACATGATATATCTTTTTTTTTTCTTTTTCCTTTTTATCAGTACCGGGGATCAAACTCACGACCACCTGCTTGCAAGAAAGACGCTTATGCCACTGAGCTAAATCCCCAGCCCCTACGTGGTGTATCTTGATTTTATTTTTTCCCGTCCCTCTCCCCTCGCTTTAACCTTTCTTCTTACTTGTAAAAGCTTTGCTTCTATTTTTTCCTTCTATTCTTTTTTTTTCTTGGTCTTGCTTTTCCTCCTTTCCCTGCTTTGTTCTCCTTCTTACTTAAAAATTTTCTTCCCATTTCTCAATATCTGTTGTCTTTATTTACATGTAGTTTAAACTTTCGTTTGGTTTTGGTTTTGTTTTTCGTTTTTGGTGACAGTCTCACTATGTAGTCTGGGCTGGCCTTGAACTCAAGGTGCTTCTTCTCCCTCAGACTCCCAAGTCCTAGAATCACAGACCTGTGTCATCATGCCTGGCTTCCATAGTTTAAAATAGAATGTTAAAAATACTGTCCAGAAAAAAAAAATAAATAAAAAAGGAAAATACTGTCCAGGGGAGGTGGTGTACACCTGTGATGCATATTCAAGAGACCGAGGCAAGAGGATTGTTGTGAGTTTGAAGCCAGCCTGGGCCACACAGCAAGACCCTGTCTCAAAAAAAAAAAAAAAAAAAAAAGTTGAAAATTCTCATTTTGTCTAGATGGTAAACTTTTGCAGAAGCTAATTACCAGCACATTTTATTTTATTTTATTTTATTTTATTTTTTTGTCTTTTTCCTTTTTATTGGTACCGGGGATTGAACTCATGACTGCCTGCTTGCAAGGCAGGTGCTTATGCCGCTGAGCTAAATCTCCAGCCCCTACCAGCACATTTTAGGTTTTCTTCTTTTTTAATACTAAGCATTGAACCCAGGGCCTTTGTACTGAGCTCATTCCCATCTCTCTTTATTTTTTACTTTTGAGACAGGTTTTTGTTAAGTTACTAAATTGCCCAGCCTGGGCTCAAATTTGCAATCCTCCTGCCTCATCCTCCCAGAGCAGTGGGATTTCAGGTGTACACCATCATAGCTGACTATACTTCAGGTTTTTAACTAACACTTCACACACACATGCCTCGTATACAGTGTATTACAGTTCATTTTATGTTGTAAAATACATGTTCCTATTATACTCTCAAAAGTGTACATTAAGATCATAGTTGCAAATAAAGTTTTGTCATCTGAAATGAAAATTCTAGATAAAAGCATTTGGATGGGGAGATCTTGAGAAATCTATAAAAATGTAACTCACTTTTATAGACCAGAAAAAGGGTCCCCATACCTGATACTAAGAACTTTCTGTTTCTGAAATTGTACATTTGTATCTCTTATTTCTTGCATCTTGGTTTCTGACCCTGACCACATCTGTCCAGTTGGGGTGGCAGCACCTGGGAGGGAGGGATGGACTCCTCGGGACAAACTCCTCCCCTGGGCCATAAGCTCACCCTACTGTGCGCCCACAGGCAGACTGTGCTGTGGCTGTGAGGAAGCCAAGAGGGGAATGCAGGGTAGTTAAATGGTTCTGTGAGCCAGGCATGGTGGTGCACACCTGTAACCCCAGCACTCAGGAGGCTGAGGCAGGAGGATTGCTTTGATTTGAAGGCCAGCCTGGGCACATAGTGAATTCAAGGCCAGCCTGAACTACATAGCAAGACACTGTCTTCAAAACAAACAAAGAAACAAACAAAAAAGGTCCTGTGATTCCTGAAGGGGGAAAAAAACTGACCAAATAAACATGGAAGGAAAACTGCCAAGCTCTGAAATGATTCTTAGGTTGAAGAACCTACACTGTGGGTGTCTGGCCATTCTGGTTCTGGGTTGGGGTGGGGCCACTAGGGCACAGTGCTCACCCCTTAGACCACAGAGCAATCTCAGACTCAGGCTGCACAGCAGAAAGTGAGCAGCAGAGAAAGGAGTGAATCTTCAGCTGCACGTCCAGCCACCCCCTGTCGTGGGTATCACCACCTGAGCTCAGCAGTGACCCTGGATTCACACAGGAAACCGTGCTGTGAACTGCTCATGTGTAGGGGTCTAGGGTGAACCCCTCTCTAACTTCCCCCAAGTACTGTGGCATCAGGACAGCCTGCTGCGCTTTGGCCGAGATCACAGGTGAAACAGAGGTGACTGTGTTGGCCGTCCACTGCCACCTGTCCCCAGCGGTGTCTCCAGATTCCTCCTCAACCATCAAGATTCAGCTCAGATATCACTGGCTTTGTGAAGCTTCCTGTCCTGTCCCCAGTCCTAAGAGACCTGGGGTTCACATTCCATTCCCACAGGGCCTGTAAGACAGCATGGATTGAGGGCTGGGGATTTAGCTCAGTGGTGTAAGCGCCTGCCTGCCTGGCAAGCCTGTGGTTGTGAGTTTGATCCCTGGTACCGGTAAGAATAAAAACAAACAAACAAAAAAATAAAAAACAGCATGGATGGCTGATCTGTGTGAAGGTGGCCCTCATTAGTGGAGCAGCACCTCCAAAGCTGCATGTCATCTCTGTAGCTCCCAAGTCCAGGGCTGACACATGGTAGCTGCTTGCAGGTAGTTACTGAGTGGAGGGTAAATGAATTAATGAATGAACAAAAGATGATTTAAAATATACGCATGGGGGGGTTGGAGATTTAGCTCAGTGGCATAAGCACCTGCCTTGCAAGCAGGCAGTCATGAGTTCAATCCCCGGTACTGATAAAAAGACAAAAATAAATAAATAAAATATACACATGCCCTTGGTGTTCACCTCATCAGTGAGGAGGACGTCCTTCAGAGTGTGGTGCTGAGTGGGAGTGTTGTTCTGCCACAACTGAGACAGGAGGAGGGCAGTAAGAGAATAAGGCTTTAGAACGAATTGGCCACCGAGGGATGGAGGAAGAATGACTTCAGTGTTTCTATCTTGGGAGGCTGAGGACATCTAGGAGTACAGGGGGCTGACTGGTTTTTAGGGAAAACATGAGTTTAATTGTAGAAATGTTAGGAGGAAGTTGAGCAAGATGGCTCATGCCTATAATCCCAGCACCTGGGAGGGGGACGGAGGCATGAGGACCCGTGCAAGTTCAAGGCCAGACTGAAACTGCCACTGAAACTGGCCTGGAACTTGCACCAGTCCTCATGCCTCCGTCCCCCTCCCAGGTGCTTGTCTCAAAAAACCAACCAAACACACAATAAAGAAGTTAAGAGAAATATTTCAGAGATGGAAATATAAACCTGGAGCTTAGGAGGGAATGCATGGCTGGAGATATAGATTTAAAAGTTCTCTGATTATAGATAGGAATTTTCTTTTTCCTTTAATTTTTTTTTTTTTTTTAACATAGGGAATTGCTCTGTTGTCTAGGCTAATCTTGAAGTCCTGGACTCAAGCATTTCTGTTGCCTCAGTTTCCCAAGTAGTGGAACTAAAAGAATGTAAGCCACTATGCTCAGTTTGAATAGTAATTTTAATAAAGTTATAATATAAAAATGGATAAATCGGGCCTGGGATTTAGCTTAGCAACATAAGCGCCTGCCTAGCAAGCGCAAGGTTTTGAGTTTGATCCCCAGTACCAAAAAAAAAAAAAAAGAAAAAGAAAAAGAAAAAGAAATGGATGAATCATATAATTTACTATTGTGTGGAGAGATTATTAGTGTGATAGAACTCTAAATCTTGGTGGTCTAACTCAAGAGAAGTTTTCTCCTTGCTTATGTAACATTTCATTGCTGGTATCTGGGGGGGTGCCTTCCACAAGGTCATCTAGGGACTCAGGCACCTTCTGTTTTGTGGCTCTGTCATTGTTTTAGGGCTTCAGCATGTTCTGCTTTTAACCAGCTGGTAGGAGGAAAGAGAGGAGGCGGATGTGTGATTTCTGCGGGGTAGACTAGGTCTGATGTCACCCATCACTTCTGTGCACCCTGCACTGACAGGAATTCAGTTCCCTGGTTGTCTGAGCCAGTCTCACCCTGGGTCCCAGTGCAGGGCTATACAGAAAGACAGTAGAGGGGACTGGATGATGCCAAGGGTTTGGCAACTTTCCCCGTGTGCAAGAAAAGTTTCCCATGAAGCAGTGGAAACCATGTCAGGTCTTGGACAGGAACTTGCCTAAAGTCCCTGTCAGGTTATTGACAGTTTCCAGGTTTTTCTAATTCAGAAGCCCAACCCTGGTCTGCACTGACACGGCAGAATATCACTGGGTGACTTGTAATGAAACCTGTTGCTCATGTTCTGTGGGCTGCACAGACACGTGGCTGAGAGCTGGCACTTGGCTGGGGCTTCCTTCTGCCTCACAGCACAACCGAGGGCATCATAGAGCAAGCAGGGTCAGCAAGCATCTGCTCTCCTTCCCTCTTCTAACTCCTCTGATGCCCTCCGTGCCTCATGGCTCCCTACTCGCCACCTACCACACCACCTCCAAGTATTTTATACCTATGAATCTGAACTAAATTTCTAGCACATGAACTTCGGGCTATGTGTGGAAACCAGAACACTCCAGAAGAGGGAAGAAAAAAGAAGTGAGCATTTGTGAAGTTTCTACTCTGTCACTTGGCAGAATTTCCTCCCTTCTCAGTATTTGAGATAAGAGAATAGGATTAGGACCTGAACCCAGGTCCACAGCCCCCGATTTCCCTAGTTCATCATCAAAAAGGCTTTCTGGCCTCACAAGGGAACACATTCTTGCTTTCACAGCTGCACAGCCTGGGGGAGGGCGAGGAGGGTTGGGTGGCCCCTTCTGTAAGAGGGATCCCACTAGGGCATGCACAGCCTAAGGGTCCAGGCGGGCCTGGGGAGCTGGCTCTGGGAGGAGCTGACCCTGGCTCCTCCTCCCTCCGGCAGCCCTACCCCCACCCTGGGTCGCCAGGAACACTGGCTCTGAGCAGGGGACACACTAGCCTAGCCGCTCCAAGTCACCATGGACACTGAAGGTAAAGGGACACCTCTTCCCTGCATCCATGCACCCCCCCCCCATCTCTGTCCCCTGCCCTCCTCTGGAAAATCCTTTTCCTCTGGCCTCTCATCTACTCTGTTCCCACTTCTGCCTTCATCTGCCCTGGAGGGATCCCCAGAGATCGCTTTGGCCTTTCTCCTTCCTTGTTGGGTCAACAGTGAGCTCTGGGGAAGAAAGGGGCCTTGAGCCCTGGGAGAAGGCCTAAGAAAGCCTGTTTTCCGGGATACACACAGAGCCGGTAGTGGGGGGCTGGATGGAGGAGCAGCTCCGGACTCTGCCCCCTGCTGCCTGCTGGCTGCCTGCTGGCGGGTCAGTCAGGAGCAGCAGAGACAAAGTCCAGTTGCATCTCTGATGTTGGGGGGAGGGGCTGGGGTCCTCAATCCGAGGAAGTGAGCTGGTGTGTGCAGAGAGGCCAGGCTTGGAGTCACAGGGCCCCAATGGGACAGGTCTGAGGCCTCAGGCCCATCCCTGAGCTCTCAGAGCCTCATTTTCTTGTATCAGTAAAAATGACAGCAATATTCCCTGCGTGAAAGGCCATCAGAAAGATAGATGATGGGGACGCGTCTGGCCAGGCCTGGGTGCAGGAGGCCCTTTGCTGAGCTCATATCTCCTTCCCCAGGCTGGACCTTTCTGTTGGAGTGTCTGTGAGCTCCACTTACTTGGTGGTGGCGCCTGCTCCAGGGGTCCCCTGCAGGATGCCCCTCTGGGCACCTTTCACTTCCTTGGTGACTTTCTCTTTTGAAGTAATGCTGGCCTGGCCTGACTCCCAGCTGCTCAGGCACTGGCATGTTACTGAATCTGCAGGATCCAGGTCTCCACATCTGGAAAATGGAACTGGCTTTATGGGGCTCGAACTGATTCTTTAGGGCTGGGCTTCTTTACTTGGGAACACATGGGTGGGCCTTGGGGGAGCACCACAACCCCAAAATGTATATATGAAGTTATGTCTTTGTGAGAAAGTGGCAATGCATTTTTCTAAGAAAGAGGTCTATGATTTTCATAAGATCCATATTCTTAAGAGTAAATGAATCTGGGGTACAGTGTCAGATGCCTGTATCCCAGCTACTCAGGAGGCCAAGGCAGGAAGATCTTAAATTCTAGGTCAGTACAGACAACTTAGCAAAACCCTGTTTCAAAATAAAAGATAGAAAAGGCATGCAGATGTAGTTCAGTGTGAGACCCTGGGTGTGTCCCCAGTACTGCCGAGCAAAAAAAAAAAAAAGTAAATAAAGCCCCCCAACATCAAGGATGCTTGTCAGAGATACCCTACCTCTGACTCCCATCACATACAGTACTTTAGAAAAAGAGGTCAGTGCTGGAAACCCGAGTTTAGGTGTCAGCCCTGCTACCTGCTAGATGTGTCTTAAATGAGAATGCTTAGTCTCTGCGTGCCTCAGTTTCCTTACTGATAAAGTAGGAATGGTGCCTTCTCGCTGCACTGTGGGGAAGCGCCTGGCACACAGAGCCTGGCCCTGGCCTGCAGCAGTGAGGTTGGTGATGCCACCTCCTCACTTCTGCTACCTGAGCTCCCTCCCAGCTGCATTTCGGAAACCTGTGTCCCTGGCCCCTTCCTGATCATCAAGCTCAGTCTTGTGCCTCCAGCTCTTTCTTCTGATGTCCCCGTCTCTGTGCCTGCTTCCTGGTCCCCATACTTACCTGGACCACTCACTCTCCTTGCACCCCAGGATCCAGCTGATGTGGCCTCTGGGCTCTTCCTTCAGGGGATTAGCCCACACTCCTTTCTGCTCCTTTCCTGGCCTTGGCCTTCTCCTCGAGGGAGCAGCTTGGGGGAGCAGCTTTGTATTACAGTGTCTGAGTTTTGCTTCCAGGCAGAGCCAGAAGGGCTGGCACTGGGGTCACTGACCTTGAGAATCTGCCAGGAGGGAGCAGACAAGTTGGGGTGGGCACTGGCAAGGGGAAAGGACAGGCCTGGAGTTGGGACAGAAGCCGCCTTCTGGCGTGAATGCAGAGGTCAGGCAGGGCCAAGGAGGTGGGTGTGGCAGGGCCCTTTTCTCTTGGCCATGGGAGAGATACCCTCCTCGCATGGTTCTTGTGTAGTCTCCTCATCGGCCTCCCATCCAGGAACCTTAGACATAAGTGTAGTGTTTAACTATCAAAGCACCCTTTTTGTTTTTTTTTTGAGACAGGGTCTCCCTATGTAGTCTAGACTGGCCTTGAACTCACTATGTACTCCAGGCTGGTCTCCAACTAGCAGTGATCTTCCTCCTCAGCCTGTGTGCCACCACACTGGGTCTCAGAATTCATTTTTGATCCTGTGGTTGCTGATCAAAATTCTGTAGGATTTCCAGTGCACCAATGAGAAGAGTGCCTTCTCTCGCTTCTCTAGCTCTGGCTTCTCCTAGTAGGCCTGGCTGTGGTAGCCTCAGCTCCTGCCTCTGCCTTCTCTCTTCCCCTCCTGCCTCACAGGCTGTGATGTGGGGCCATCCACAAAGCCCAAAGCAGCTGCCCTGCACGGCGTGTGCCTGCCCCTCTGCTGAGCGGCCTCTCCCATCAGTTCCCACCATCCTCAGCGCTGCCTTTCCCAGCCTCTTGCTGCTCTCACACTGGCATAACAGCTCCTCTCCTCTCTGCCAAATTCTGTGGATGGTTTTAGCACTTGGGTGCTGGGGCATCTGCTGGTCACAATTTGGAAGTCATTTCTCCTCTGGGGAGAAAAAAGGGAGGGGAAAGCAGCAGGGGAAGCTGTGGTGCTGACCACCCTTTGTCTCCATCTGCTGTTGGTAGAGTGAATCAATATGTATATGAGAGAGCAAAGGTGTGTCTAGGACATCTGGGTTCAAGCACAACTGGCTAGGCTATGGTTCAGGCATCTTCTGTGAATTCCTTCACTCTGTCTTCACAGCAGGCAACCCTGTGATCTCCCCAGGAAAATGTTAAATTGACTGTCAGAGAGGTTGGCAACTGACCTGAGGTCACCTAGTGCCAGTGATTTCTGACTCCAAAGCCCAGCCCTGGAACCCTCCTGGGCAGGGCTTGCAGAACTTTGTGAATATCAATATAACAAAGAAAAACTATAAGTTATTTATGTTGAGATTCAAGGCAGTAGTGGGGTGTGGTGGTGCACTCTGGTGTAATCTCAGAACTCAGGAGGCTGAGGCAGGAGGATTGCTATACCTTTGAAGCCTGCCTGGGTTACATAGTGAGTTCAAGACCAGCCTAAATTGCATCAGGAGATCCTGTCTCAGAAAGACAAAAGCAAGGGCTGAGAATTTAGCTTAGTGGCACAAGTGCCTGCCTAGTACCAAAAAAAAAAAAAAAAAGGCAATGTGCTAAGGTGTGGTGGATGCGTCAACCCTGGGGCTAGCTTGTTGGGTTCATGACATCAACTCCACACTTCCTGGCTTCTGAACTTTGGGTAAGTTACTTTTGTGCCTCCATTTCCTTATCTGTAAAATGGAGATAATTACAGTTGGTAATTGTGAGAGTTAAATGTGTTAATACATTTAAATACTTAGAAGGTGCCTAGGAAGGACTGTATATGTATTAGCTGTTATTGTCCTGTACATTATGCTATCCCAGATTGTACTGTAGATAAGAGGAATCAAGCACCATGGTCTGAGAATAAGGTGTAAGAGCAAACACTTTAAAATGAATTATTTATATGCATTTAGGTTCTTTTTCTCCCATAAATTGTGGAAAATATCATTGTTGGGCTTCAGCTACAGAATACTTTGATCAGCTTCATCTAAGCTGCTATCTGTTGAAGAATAAGAGCTAAAGCAGGTTCTGCCCATTTCAGGTACGTGAACCTTTGCTGTGCCACACAGTGAAGGAACTTCTGAGCCAGGCTTGGTGTAGGTCTGCAGTCCCGCCAACCTGGGAAACAGGCAGGAGGATGAAAGTTTGAGACCAGGCTGGGCAAGTTATTGACCTAGTGAGACTCTGTCTCAAATACAAAAAGGACTGGGATGTAGCTCAGTGTGAGGGTCTTGGGTTTGATTCCTAGTGCCACAAAAACAAAGTAAGTCTAGATTTGATCAGTTGGTTCATGCTTTGGCTTGCTATTGCATTTCCAACACAATGGTTAAATGATTGAAAGAGAGACAGAGGGATGGACATTCTGATGCTGATGTGGTCTTGCTGGCAAGGAGCCACTGTTAGGGAGAACAGAAAACATAATCATAATCAGTCAACCATCCAGCAAGACCCAACGACAGAAAGGTCAGTGGTGGGAAGAGCCAACCAGTGGTGGTCATCTACCAGTCAGCATGGGTAGCTCTCTGTGTCTCTGCATTATTTGTAAAGAGGAAAGAAGAGCAGAAAATGTTCCAGCATGGGATATCATGTTTCGGATTCCCTCAGAAACAACTGCTTTGATGTCTTTGCTCCTGATGAGTGATTTGGGGATGACAATGCACAAATGTATGTACTGTTGTTGCCCCTTGGGGGTGGGGGGAAAAACAACCGCCTTTTTGTTTTATTTTGCTGTACTGACAATTGAAGCCAAGGCCTTCACACTAAACTACGTTCCTAGCCGTCTTGTTATATTTTATTTTGAGACAAAATCTTGCTAAATTTCTCAGGTTGGGTATGGTCTTCTGATCACCCTGCCTCGGCCTCCTGGAGTCCTAGGATTATAGGCGTGTGTCACCCTGCCCAGCTTTATTACAGTTTTATTCACTACAAACAACCAGTTATAAAGGTATTACTTTGAGAGACCAGGGATACATCCCACAGAACGAAACGAAACTAGACTCAGAAGTGCAGGCCTCCCGGAAGAACGTCCACGTGTAGCCACCTCCTGCACAGCTACTGCCCACCCCAGCCTCCAGGCAGTGCCACTCTATGCCAGGCTCCTTCCTGCAGGTGCAGACAGCTTTTCCTCTTCAGAGGGAATCGTTGCCTTTCAGGGACAGCTGCTAATTGAGGAGACCAGATTCTTGAAGCCACACACAGGAATCCTTTTCGTTGGAAATGCATGAGCCAGTCAGGGCCTGAGAAAACCAGATGTGTTTGTTTACTTTGCACAAGTGGAACATGGGGCAGTCTCCACGCTGGGCAATCAAAACAGTAGATCTCTGAGATGGGGTCTGGAGGGAAAGCTGGCAGGTGGAAGCAGTCAGGATGGTGGGGTCCATGCTTGTTACTTTCTAGCTTTATCATTTTCTACTCTGCTCTTTAGTTAATTTCCTTTTCTGTTTGTTTGTTTGTTTTTGTTGAGATCTTGGTATGTAGCCCAGGCTGGTCTCTAACCTTCAGTGATCTATCTTCTTCAGCCTCCTGAGTGCTGGGATTATAAGCATGCACCACCACACCCGGTTTCCCTTTATGTTTTTGAAATTTGGTTTTCTATCTATAAATATAAATGCTGTCTACCTCAGGGACTGTGGGCAGGATTTGTGACAATAAATATGGCAACTGTCTGACATATGTCTGGTGCCTGTTATTCTTTTCCTGTGCTCAGAATCTCTTAACTCGGTACAAATGGGACTTTTTGCCACATTTCTGACCAGTTATATCAGAATCTCCCAGGGTGGAGCCCTGGGGCCCAGGGATGAATGAGCATTTGGCCAAAATCTCTCCATGAGTCTATTGTACCACTCAGTTAATCATCACTGTTCTGTTCTATGCTGTTGTGACCTAGAATAAAAACTATAAATTTTGGTCTTCTCTGGTTCCTGGCACAGAACATCTAAAATCTCTGTAATTTCCTGAGCGTTGGAGGTGCTAACAGGATCTTTTGTTCTGATTTTGGTTTTGACTCTGGTTCCTGATAGCTCAGTCTGGCAGGCTCCTGGGTTGGTGTGGCTCACCAGAAAATGAAGCAAGAGTGGAGAGGGGTTGGAGGTTGAGTTAATGAACCATCATGCCTGCATGAGGAAACCACCATAAAAACCCTCCAAACAAGGGCTGGAGGTGCAGCTCAACAGAGGAGCGCTCATCTAGCATGAGCATGACTCTGAGTTGTCCTTGGTAGAGCCAAAACCAAAAAATCCTCTGCAGCAGATTTTGAAGAGCTTCCACATTGCAGCTCACAAGGGTGGCACTTGGAGACAAAGCCGGCAACATAACCTTTCCCTGCGCCTTGCCCTGTGCATCTCTTACCTCCAGCTGGCCAATCGTTTCTTTTAAAATATCCTTTGGAAGAAATCAGCAGTAACAAGGAAGTTGTTTTTCCGTGTTCTGTGAGTTGCCCTAGTAAATCCTGCACCTAAGCAGAGGGCGGGAGAAGCTCTGATTCATAGCCACACTGATTTATGGGTGCCTTGTGGACCTAGCATTCCACATGGGCGTCTGAATGGGGTGGGTCTACCCTACAGAATGGAGCATTAACCCAAGGGCTGGGCATGAACTCTGGTTGGTGTAGGACACCCTGTGGGTGTTGGAGAATCAGTTGCTATGGAGAAAAGACCGACACATGGACATGTCCTGTGTTGAGTTAGAGTACAGAAAAAATATTCCTTATTTTTTCCATATGTACCACCCTAAAAAAAGCTTTTCTTCTCCTTATCTTTTAACCATTTTTTTTTTTTTTTTTTGTACTAGGGTTTGAATCAAGGGCCTTCACTGTGAGACCCCAGTCTCTTCCTCCTCCTTTTTAGGGCAGGGGTCTTCCTAAACTGTAAACTGCCCAGTATGGAGAACCAAGTAGAGATCTTCAACTACCTGTAGAGGGAGCTATGGCGAAGGATGGAGAAAAAAACAAATGTAGTGATTTAAAACGGCATGGGGTGGGGGTGAGGACTGGCGATTTAGCTCAGCAGCTCAAGTGCTTGCCTGGTAAGCCTCAAAAAAAAAGGGTGAGGGGGAGTGGGGGGGCAGGGAGGCAAGGAGATCAGTGCCTCAAGATGGGCAGAGATACAGACACTGGAATCAGCCATTATTTCTTGGGTGCGTACAATAATGGGAGGCTGGGGTGTATCTGATGACTCAGGCTGCGTGCTGACCTCACGCCAAGGAGGCCCTTGTAGGGGCTGGGGATTTAGCTCAGCGGCATAAGCGCCTGCCTTGCAAGCAGGCAGTCGTGAGTTCGATCCCTGGTACCGATAAAAACGAAAAAAGACAAAAAAAAAAAAAAAAAAAAAGGAGGCTCTTGTGTGGGTGGGTAGACAGTGGGATGAGATAGCAGGTTAACAAGGAGTGTGCCCTTTCCCACAGGTGAGACCATTTTATTATTATTATTACTCGGTTCTCAGGGAACCAGGATGGTGTCGCACCATCAGAGGACCATGGAGGCACACAGAATTATGCTTCTGCATACCACAGCCAGCTTGTGTGGCAGCGTACTGCATGAGCCCTTATTACAATTTAATTATGAAATTAAATTATAAAATTTATATAGAATTATATACAATTATATAGAAGGGCTCTCCACAGCCCAGGCTGGGCTGGAACTCACAGTTCTCCTGCCTTAGCTTCCCAGAGTGTTGGGATTACTTTTTTAATTCAGTGAATTTCTCACATACACAAAAGCAGACAGAGAAGTATGCTAACCCCATGCACCCAGCCCCCTCCCATCAGGATTTAGCTATTCAGGGCTGTTCACACTCCTTCCACTTTCTACCTTCTAGTTTAACATGAAACAAGCCAGCTCCCAACTCTTTTTCCCCATCCTTACCTCAGCATGCATTAGCTGGAAGAGAAAGACTTTTCTGGGTAATACAGACACAAGATCATTGTCATGATTCAACTTTTAAAAATGTCCTTCATATTATCAAAACTTCTATCAGTGGCCAGCTTCTCGGTGGTCTCATAAATATTTTCAGTTTGTTTGAATTAGGAACCAGCACTGGGGTTCAGCTCAATGGTAGAGCATTTGGTCAGCATGTGTCAGGCTCTGGGTTCCATCTTCAGCACTGAATAGCTAAAAGAAAAAGAAGAAGGAGAGGGATGAGGAAAAGGAGAAGGAGGAGGAGGAGAAGAAGAAATAGTAGTAGTAGTGGGGGCGGTTGTTGAGGAGGAGGAGGAGGAAGAAGAGGAGGAAGGCACACTCCTGTAATCCTAGAACTCAGGAGGCTGAGTCAGGAGGCTCACCGTGAGTTCGAGACCAGCCTGGGTAACATAAATGAGTTCAGGGCAGTTTGAACCACATATTGAGATCCTGTCTCAGAAACAAACTATAACAACAGCAACAACAAATTTAATCCAAATAAGATCTATGCACTGTGATCCATTAGTGCATGTTTTGGGATTGTTTTAATCTTGTGTTTCCTTACAACTTATATGTTAAAGACACATTTACTCTGTTTTTGGTAGTTTCCTGTAGTCTGAATTTTGCCAGTTTAAATCCTGAGGCATAAAACATGATCCACTGTCCTGTGATTTTCTTTTGTTGTTTGCTGTTTTATTTATAAATGGGTGGCTTCAGCTAGAAGTGTGATCTGACTCAGGTTCAGATGTTTTGGCCAGAGCCACTCGCAGATGGTAGTGTGTTCTTCTGTCAGGAGACGTCCAGCAGCTGACCATCTGTCTTCCTGTAAACAACTAGTGTACATTCATTTCACAGAATATGTTTTCACTGTGGTATTTGCATACTGCATAAGACTGACCTCACATTTGCCAGGCAACACAGGACAGAGTTTGATCACATCCTCCCTCATCTTCTTCATACGGACTTTTGATGTTCACTAATTGGCTCCATTGGTTCACCAAAGGTTGTAAAATTGTTGTGTCTTTCATCAGAGCATCAGTTTGTTTCTTCAGATGTACAACTCAAAGGTTATTAGTAAATTACTGAGCTGTACAGCTGTCACTATAAAACAGAAAACTCTCATCAGGTGTGGTGGTGCATACCTATAATTCCAGCACTTGGGAGGCTGAGGCAGAAGGATCACTGTGCAAAGCCTGGGCTACATACTGAGTTCAAAGCCAGCCTGAATACATAATGAGACCTTGTCTCAAAAAACAAACAAACAAGATAAGATTTCATGCCACTTTTAGTTTATTCTCTGCTCCTGGAAACCACTAATTTGCTGTCTGTGTCTACCTATTTACCTCTTCTGGTATTTTATGTCATAGAAGTGGACCAAATGTAGTGTGGTCTAAGGTGAATATTTGTCCTTTTTTGAGGTGGTGCTGGGGATGGAACCCAGGGCTTCATGTGCATAAATATGTGCTCTACCCCTGAGCTGCACCACAAGCATAAACATTGCTTCTTAACTTTATGTGATCAGAGTCACAGTGGGGCAGGGAGGTGACTTTTCTGGAACCTAAATTCCTGGGAACCCCCCACCCACCCAGAGATTATGACTCACTGGGCTGCAGTGGGCCCCAAGCTTTCAGATAGTCCTGCTGTGGAGGTACCCAATGGGGAACTCTTTGAATGTCAGTTTCTGTGCTTGAAAAATGGGAATCCCCATGGGGAGCTGCAGAGGACAGGACAGGCAGAGTAAGCTGCCCACACCCACTGGCTGCAGTGCGGGTCACTGCCTTCTCTTGTGGCTCTCTCCCTCTCCCCTCCCCTTCCCCTCCTCTCCCCTCCCCCTCCTTGTCCCCTCCCCTCCCTCTCCTCTCCTATTCCTTGTTCCCCCTCCTCTTCCCTCTTTCTTCCCCTCCTCTCCCCTTTCCTCTCTTCCATCTCCCCCTCTGCTCTGTCTTTTTTTTCTCTCTCCCTCTTCTCTCTGTCTTTTTGCAGTACTGAGAACTGAAGCCAGGGCCTTCACACTGAGCTACATCCCCAGCCCCAGCCCTTCTTTATTTAAATCTAAAGCCAGTCTTAGGTGGTTAAGTTGCCCGGGTTGAACGAACTTGCAGCCTACCTGCTTCAGCCTCCCTGAGTACTGGAATCACAAATGTATGCCAATACGCCCAGTCTGCATCCTCCTCTTGAAGTACTACTCCTTCTCTTAGCTTTCAGCCACCCGAGATAGAGACCTAAGGACTCTCCGTCTGATAGCTATGACTCCGGTGCACCTTCCCCCACCCCCAGCTATGGCTCACATCTGGCCCTGCTCTCTGTTCCTAAGGTTGCTGCTGAGTTCAGGGCGTTAGCACTTTTGATCCAGGCAATCGCCTCAGCCTCCCTTTGCCTCCAGTTAGTGGTAGAGGGGTCCCTTTTAGAAAAATCCTAGTCACAGCTCTCAGATGGATGCTGGGATCAGTCCAGATTCCTCAGCCGAGAGGGCTCATCCTTTTGCACCCTGGCCTCACCTCCCACCGTGAATCCCACAGACACGTTGCCCTCAGCCCTGAACACCTGCCTTCCAGCGCCAGATGTCTCGCCCCCTCCACACCTCTGCCTGGCACCCTGCTTCGGGGACACTGAGTCATCCCTTCCTCTACATCCCCACTGTGCTAGGGAAATGTGCAGTCATTTCTTTAGCAAACACGCCTACTGTGTGCCAGACAGTGTTCTCCAGGGCTCTGCAAACATTAGCACTTATTTTCACAATAATCCTATGAGCTCACTTTGCTCCTTGTTACAGAGGAGGCACCTAAGGCTGCTAGAGGCTGAGTCACGGATCCACAATCACTGAGCTAAAAGCTACAGAGCCAGTACTGGAACCTAGGTAGCGCAGCCTCCAAGTCTGCTTTGTGTCTCTTTACCACAGACCCCTTGGATGGAGAAGTTTCATCAAAGTTTTGGTGAGAAGATAAATAACACCCAGCTAGGCACAATTCCAGCACTCTGGGAGGCTGAGGCTAGAGGATTAGAAATTCAGTCCCAGGCTGGGCAATTTAGCAAGAGCTGTCTCAAAAAAAAAAAAAAAAAAAAAAAAAAGCTGGTGATACAGCTTGGTACAGAGGCCTTGATTCAGTCCTCAGTACTGGGTTGAAGTGGAGGACCCAAACAATTTAAAATTGCTAATATTGGGGCTAGGGATTTAGATCAGTGGCATAAGTGCCTGCTTTGCAAGCAAGCAGTCGTGAGTTTGATCCCCAGTACTGATAAAAAGGAAAAAGACCAAAAACAACAACAACAACAAAAATTGCTAATATTTGACCATCTGACCTATACATATTGTAGGTGTGTATGGTACAGCGTGCTGGGCACTAGAGGTGCTGCAGAAAACTCAGTGGCCACGGCCGGACAGTCTGGCTTAGAGCACAGTGTGGAGTGAGCACGAGGGAGCACGAGGGCTGAGAGCCCACGCTCTGCTATAGTAGCATTGTGTGCACCCCACTGAGAAAGGGAGGTGAGAAAGACGAGGTGAAGGGGCGAGGGGGGGAAGGGGCTTCTATTTAGACCTTGCAACATCCCGAGTGAGGGTCGGAAAGGTAAAGACAGGGCTGCCCACTCTGTCACCATGGCAACCCAGCAACTCTCACCTGTCCCAGAGTAGGGGCTCATCAAGGATTTGTCAAAAGAATGAATGAAAAATGAAGAGATGTCAAGAGAGCTGGAGCTATTGCTGTGCAAGTGGGGTTTCCAGCAGGGGAGTTAGCAAAGGAGGCCAGAAACAGGCAGGCATGATATTGGTAAAAGCAGAGCACATTGCCAACTATCCCAGTACTGAACTGGGCTCCACTCTGGGTGGTGTGGGGTGTGGGTGGCAGGTGGAGGTTGATAGCCTGGGAAGGAGGGTGGAGAGTGGCAGAAGACCACTGAGAGGACACGGGGGTGTGAGAGGGTGCCAGCTGCCCTGACCCAGCAGGATGCTTGCTGGAGACAGGCCAGGCTGACAGGACCTCACAGAGGCCTGATGAGGGACCCAGGCTGGGTACGATGTTGAGGGTGATCAGATATGGAGGGTGGGGATTGTGGCTAAACTCACTTCGTAGGATTCTTGCTAAAACTTGATAATTTAAAGACAAGCACAGAAGTCCAAAAGTAAAGGCCTAGCTGAAAAATTTGGGGAGTCTGTTAGGGGTTTGGAAGGAAAGAAACTTTTAGTAAACCATTCAGATTTACTCTTCTTTTAAAGACATGAGTAATGAAGTATAATAATATATATGAAGTATAATAGTATAATAATAGAGTGAAATTCACCTTTTTTTCTTTTTCTTTTTTTTTTAAGATAGGTCGTGTTATGTAAGCTGACCTTGAACTTGCAGTGATGCTCCTGCCTCAGCCTCTCAAGTGCTTGGATTACAGGTGTGCACCACCATGCCCAGATGAAATTCATCTTTTTGGGGGTGGTTGGCACAGTTCTGAGTTTGTCATGTAGTCACAGACCAGATATAGAACAGCAGAATTGCTCAGACACCTCCTTGGTGCTGCCCTGTAGTCAGCTTCCTCTACATGCCAGGCTCCCAGCCCTTTGGTCTCTGTTACTCTAGTTTCCTTTTCTAGGGAAAAAGAATTGTCCAGCACTTTGGGAGGTTAAGGCAGGAGGATTATGAGTTCAAACCCAGCCTGGGCAATTAAGGATTGTATTGCAGAGTAGAATTCCATTTCATAAATGTATCATAGTTCTTTTTTCCAACATTTTGCAGTTGAAGGGTTCAAATTTACTTTTTTATTAACCATCCCTGCCCTGAGTTTGAGCTGAGTGGGAGGAGCTCTGGGTCCCTGTAGTTTAGATCCAGGCCTTTTCTCTAGCTGGATGGTGAAGATCGGGACAGGGACTTAGTTTGTAGGCATTCTAGACTCATTGATGGGTCAGAGTGGCAGGGGGAAGGGGGCAGGGCGAGGTCACTGAGGACTGGTTCAGAAGCAGTCTGAGGCAGGCTGTGGTGCAAGACTAAAATCCCAGCACTGGGGAGGCAGAGGCAGGAGGATCGCCATGAGTTCAAGGCCAGCCTAGACTACTCAGTGAGTTCAAAGCTAGTACATAGTAACCTACATAGTGAGACTTTGTCTCTAAAAACCACAAAACAAAACAAAATCTCATAGAAGCAGCAAGATAGAAGACTGAGTGTAATATTGGATTGAAGATTGGGGAACAAGGGCCAGGAAAGAGCAACCCAAGCAGAGCAGTCTGGCCCTTGATGTGGAGAGAGAGAGAGAGAGAGAGAGAGAGAGAGAGAGAGAGTGTGTGTGTGTGTGTGTGTGTGTGTGTCTGTGTGTGTGTCTGTGTGTAAATGTGAGTGTGTCTGTGTATGTGCACGTGAGTGTATGTGCGTGCGTCTGGATGTGTGTGTGTCCACGCGTGTGCACCAGCACACCCGCGCTCGCTAATTGGGTTTCTGAGAAGCCAAGGGTGAGGGTTCCGGCGCCCACGAGGCCGTAGCTCCTCTCCTGGCCGACAGATGGCAATGTCACACCGCGTCTGGTTCCGCTTCTCAGTGGCTGCGCTCGGGCTGGGACGGCCTTAGGGATCCCCGAATCCTTTGCCCTATTTCCTAGCGAAGGACTCGCTCAAGCCCCGGGAGCTAAGTCTCGCAGGACGGGCGCTTGGACTCGGTTTTCCCGCGTTCTTTCCCATGTTGTCGCACAGCCTCATCTCCAGAGACCTGGAGGTTTGTGGCAGTTTCTCTTGGGCTTGGGAGGGGGCAGCAGAGCAGAGCCGCCGCCAGGGCTTCAACAGCCGCGCCTGGGCGCCACCTTGCTGCGCGCCCGCGCCCGCGCCCACTTGCCTTTCCCTCGAGGTCGTTTGCATCGGCTCCGAATTTACGGTCTTACGCGCTTCCAGCTGTACAGTGCTTGGAGCGGTATAGAGGAGGCCGGGGCGAAGAAGACACACAAGCTCTAATTCCGCTGGAGGGCTTCAGCCCTCCCTCCCCCCATACTGGACATTGAACCCAGGACTTTGTGCAAGCCAGGCAAGCACTGAGCGATGGCCTCACTCCCATTTCATAATTTTGAGACAGGGCCTCCCTAAATTGTCTGGGCTTCAGCCTCCCAAGTAGCTGGGATTACAGTTGTGCACCACAGCACCCAGCTCCCACTCAGCAATTTGACTATCTAAAGTAAACTTTAAAAAAAAAAATCCAAAAGAACAATAACTCATTCTACGGAAAGTAGAATGATGATTTCAGTGTACTGAGGAGAGGGGTAAGTACACAGTTTGTTCTGTAAATGGAAAAAGGTTTAGAGATCTGTTCTGCAGTGTGCTTATAGCCATCAAGACTTCTACACATTGAAAAATTTAAGAAAATTGATCCCATGTTGTTGATTTTTTAAAACATGAGAATAAAGTAGTAAAAACCAGACACGGTGGCACAGGCTTGCAATCCCAGCCCTCTGGAGGTTGAGGCAGGAGGATTGCTGAAGTTCCAGGCCAGCCTGGGCAACAAAGTGAGTTCAAGGCCAGCCTGAACTACATAGTGAGACTCTGTATAAAAAAAACAAAAAAAAAAAAACCTAAAAAGGTTGAGAACAGAAAGTATGGCCTGACAGGAAGGAACACATTCTTTCCCTGCAGTACTGAGCATTGAACCCAGGACCTTCACACCTACATCACCAGCTGTTTGTTTGTTTGTTTTTTGTCTTTTTCGTTTTTATCGGTACCAGGGATTGAACTCACAACTGCCTGCTTGCAAGGCAGGCGCTTATGCCGCTGAGCTAAATCCCCAGCCTTACCAGCTGTTTTTTAATTTTTGATTCTGAGATAGGATCTTACAAAGTTGAAATGTTGCTCTGGCTGGGCTTGAATTTGTGTTCCTCCTGCCTTAGCCTCCCAGAGTGCTGGGATTATAGACATGTACCACCACTCCTAGGTTCATGTCCTGTTTTCCAGAAGTTATCTAATGCTTGTCAGAATTTTAAATTAAACTAGTGTAATTTAATTTAACTTTAAGTTGTGTTTTTTTTTCCTGCCCTATTTGGCAACCTTGTCTGTCTGCTGCACAGCGCCACTGCTTCCCTAGCCAGCCCTAGAATCCAGATCCTCTTCTGATTGGCTGATGCCTGATGTAGCAGGCTGCCTCCCCTGACACATGGAGGCATCCAAACACAGCAACTGTCTGTCTTTCTCCCTCCCAGGCCTGTCGCTCCTGCTGCCCCCCACCACACTGGCAGCCCTGGCCGACAGCTGGCTCCAAGAGGACTGCCCAGGCCTCAACTTTGCAGCCCTGGCCACTGGAGCTGTCCCTTCACAGGCTGCACTATGGGCCAAATCCCCCGGCGTCCTGGCTGGGCGCCCTTTCTTTGATGCCATCTTTGCCCAGCTTGACTGCCAGGTCTCCTGGTTCCTCCCTGAGGGATCGAGGCTGGTACCTGTGGTCAAGGTGGCAGAGGTCCGGGGCCCTGCCCACCACCTGCTGCTGGGGGAACGGGTGGCCCTGAACATGCTGGCCCGCTGCAGCGGCATTGCCAGTGCTGCTGCCACAGCTGTGGAACTCACCAAGGCAGCTGGCTGGGCAGGGCGTGTGGCCGGCACGAGGAAGACCACTCCAGGCTTCCGGCTGGTGGAGAAGTACGGGCTGCTGGCCGGTGGTGCTGCCTGCCACCGTTACGACCTGGGCGGGCTGGTGATGGTGAAGGACAATCACATCGTGGCAGCCGGCAGTGTGGACAAGGTGCGTGTCTGGCAGAGAATTCTGTCCTCACTATATCCCAATCCCCACTCTCACCACAGTGCCACCGTCTGCCAGTGGCTACCAGCCACTTCCTGGTGAAGAGCCATGGCAGGTAGGTGAGGGACAGAGGTCTTCTGTGTCCAGCCCTTCCAATATAAGGCAGTAAGGCAGACTTGCTTCCTTTTCTTCTTTTTTCAGCTGCTTGGTCTGATGGTCAAGAGCAAAAGACAGAAGCCAGGCACCATGGCCATATGCCTGTACTCCCAGCAATTCAGGAGGCTGAGACAGAAAAATCACAAGTTAAAGGCTAGTCTGGGCAGCCAGAGGTGGTGGGACCTTGTAGAGACTACTTGATTTGCTGGGCCTGTTTCCCCAGTGTGCTGTGTAGCCCAGACCGGCCTCAAACTTGAGTCCTTTCTCTACGAGCTTCCCAAGGGCTGGGGTCACCAGCATGTACCACTATACCTGCTTGTGGCAGTTGTTGAAGACTGTCTCTAGTTTTAATATTGAAAACAGTAGTTAGATTGAACTCAGGACCATTTTTCAATCCATGAAAGTGATCATTCCTCTTGTTTAACCTAATAGTATCTGGTCATCCAGTTTTCTGATCCATCTCAAGTTCGTTGTCCATGCCTGGTGTTTGGAACACTGCTCCCAGCTCCCTATGTTTCCCCTCATGCCACCCACAGGCAGTGCGGGGTGCCCGGCTGGCAGCAGGCTTTGAGCTCAAGGTAGAGGTGGAGTGCGGCAGCCTGCACGAGGCGGTCCAGGCAGCCCACGCGGGTGCCGACCTGGTCATGCTGGACAACTTCAAGCCTGAGGTGAGGCCGGTCTAATTCCGGGGAGGGCGTGTGGGTGGCTCTCACCTGCTCTTGACCTGTGTCCTGCAGGAGCTGCACCCCACAGCTGCGGCGCTGAAGGCCCAGTTTCCACAGGTGGCTGTGGAAGCGAGCGGGGGCATCACCCTGAACAACCTGCCCCAGTTCTGCGGGCCCCATGTCGATGTCATCTCTTTGGGGATGCTGACCCAGGCAGCCCCAGCCCTCGACTTTTCCCTCAAGCTGTTTGCTGAAGAAGCTGTCACCCCCCAATTCTAAAGCTGAAAAGGATGCCAGGGCTGTGGGTTGACTTGGCTCATGAGGACCCTCAGGTCACACATCTTTAGGTTCAGTGGCCAACAGGATATAACCAGAATTGGCCCAGGCTCAGCCTGCTCTGCTGCCTACTGCTGTGTGACCCACCAAGGCTGACTTCACCCTTGTTCACCTCAGTTTCCTAATCTGAAAATGGGTCTAATAAATGATCAGCCTTTTGGGGTCTCTTGCTGATAAGTACCACATAATAAGTGGTCAGTAAAGAAATTACTCTAATTCATCTAAGCACATGATGAGCATATTTTTTGCCTACTGTCTCTTATAAAGTCAGGATGTTCCTTTAATTAGTGGCATTTCATGAGACCCCTGTCAACTGGGAGGCTGGAATCCTGAAGCCAGCTTGGCCTGTGTGGACAACCCAAAGACAGTTGATAATAATGTAGGTTGAGGGTCAGGGATGTAGCCCAACAGCACAACGCCTGCCTGGCAATTGCAAGGTTCTGAGTTCCATTCCCAGTACCAAAAAAAAGTATGCTGAAACTGGGGTGGTGGCCCATGCTTGTAATCCCAGCACTCAAATGGCTGAGGTACATGGGTCACTGAAAGTTAGAGACTGGCCGGGGCTACAAAGTGAGCTCAAGGCCAGCTTGAACTACATATCGAGACTGTCTCAAAAAAAAAAAAAAGCCCCAAACCAGCCAGGCATAGTGATATACATCTATAATCTCAGCTAGTCAGGAGGCTGAGGCAAGAGGATCTCATTTGAGGCCAGCCTGAGGAATTTAGTAGGCCCCCCTTCAAAATGAAAAGGATTAGGGTTATAGCTCAGTGGTAGAGCACTCTTAAATTCAATCCCCAGGACAGGAAAGAGAGAGAGAGAGAGAGAGAGAGAGAGAGAGAGAGAGAGAGAGAGAGACAAAAAACAATAGTCTTTGTTGTTGTTTAAGGTCTCAGAATCGTAGATTCCTGGAACTCACGGCCTCAAGCAATCCTCCTGCCTCAGCTTCCCAAGTAGTTGAGACTATAGGTATGCACTACCACACTCATTTTGAAACATCTTTTTGAATATGTGAAAGAGGTTGCAAGAAATAACAAAGCACTGGTCATCATTCAAGTGACAGTCTTCTTTATGAGCAGTAATAAATATGTCCTGCCAACCATGACATCCTATATTTGAAAGTTTGTGATGTCTGGTCTGCTGCTTGGCCACAATGTCTCACTCATGGATGCTCATGTTGTTACAGAAAAATCAGTATCAAACTGAATGGAAGATCCTTTGCTCTGAGGAGTTAGAAGCCAACAGTGTTTATCATGCTAATCAGGCTGATAGGAATCTCAGCTCCAAATCATGAGCACTGAGGCAGTTTCAGGTTCAGTTTAAATACAGTTTATAAGCAGGAAGTACAAGACATTACATGATTGGTTACTTGGATTGAATTAAGTCATATATTGTCAGGAAAACTAACTCTAAATACATTTGCCTAAAAGAAATTGTTTACTATAATATAGGAACAACCTTGGGACAAGGAGAGGGTCACAAGCAGAGTCAAAAAGTATCTTTGACTGGGTTACTTCATCCGCATCCAAAGTCCTTGAAGTCAGTTAGAAGCAATATATTTTCTTCTTTTTTTCTTTTGGTACCAACGATGGAACTCATGACCTCGTGCTTGCCAGGCAGGCACTTGTGGCACTGAGCTAAAGCCCCAACACAATATATTTTCTTAATTAAGAGAAACATTAGCTGAGAACAGTCAAACTGGCCCAGTGCATTATCAGAAGAAAAGCAGCCAGACCCAGACAGTCAAGGCTGACTAAAGTTAGCAGGCTAGCTATGTGACAAGCAGCAGGAGCCCTGTCATAGGCCTCTAACTGATCTTTAGCTTTTACTATGAAATGCCTATCAGTTTACTATTCCTTTTTTCCCCCTGGAACCATGAATCAAACTCATGGCCTTACACTTGCCAGGCAGGCACTGTGGCAGCTGAGCTATATCCCTGGCCCAAGTCTGCTATTCTGTAAGTGTGCCTTTATACTATGTGTCCCAACAATGTCAAGTCAGTTATTCAGAATTTGCACATAATTTCTGGCCGGTGCTATCAGCTCTGTGGTGGAAGTGAGACCCTTTCCTTCTTTCCTTGTAGGGCTGCCAATGCACTCCACTGCCACTGAGCACGTCCCCAAAGGGAAAGAGGCCTTCAGCTCCAACCCTGTGCTGGGTGGCATGACCAAAGCCATGGTCAGTCTTGGGGTAGGAGGGGCAAGTGGGCTCCATGTCCAGACATTGGACTTCCTTCCCCACCAGTTCAAGACCTAAGCAGGGGACCTGAGCCCAGCCCCTACACCTGCTCACTTTCTTGGCCATCGCCCACTTCTGCTCAGGTCCAGGGCTCACCTATAGGGCAGTTTCTGGAGAAGGGAGACAGGAGAGGCAAAGGGGAGTCCAGAGAGGCCCCTCACCATCCTTTGCCAAAGAGAGTGAAAAGCAGCCTTCAGTCACAAGGGTGCCCTCCCCAGGGGTCTCTGAGGGTCCCAGTCTGCCTCAAGGAAGGAATCCTGCCTTTTGTCCCTTCCTCAGAATCAGATACCTGCAAGGGGCCTGGGAAAAAGGCAGATAGAGAAAACGAGACGCGAGCACTGAGAGTGCTTACCCATAATCCAGGCACTCTGAGACTCAGGCGTGAGGACCTCAAGTTTGAGCCCAGCCAGGGGAATTTAGTGACCTAGTGAGACCGTCTCAAAATAAAAAATATTTTAAAAGGCTGGAGATGTAACTCAGTGTGGAGACTCTGGGTTTAATCCCCAGTACAAAAGAAAGAAGGAAGAAAGACTGAGAGAGAGAGAGAGAGAGAGAGAGAGAGAGAGAGAAACAGACAGACAGACAGACAGCATTATCTCAAAGGTAGAGGCCCCAGGTAGGCCAAGTCTTCATCTTTCAGTTAATGTCCTGTGGACTCAACTGGGACTCAGCAGCAGAAACAGAGCTGGACCCATCCTTCAGGGAGGCCCGACCTAAGCAGGCTGTGGCCATAGGCCATAGCCTGGAGGTGGTCCTCAGCTGCACTGGACTTCCCAATCCCCACCTCGTCCCCTCCTGTTCTTCCCCTAGAACACTCAGTGACAAGGCCATCCCTGGCCCAGTGAGCTTAGGCCTGTGAGCCCCAGCTCCTCACTCCCAAAGGAGGAGAACTGAGTCTGCTTAAAATGAGGGTGCTGCCAGCATGAAGGCAGGAAAGCTGGCTCCAGGGGTGATCTGAAAACTGGAAAGCAAAATCAGCTGGAGAGTCACAGGCATGAAGTGTGAGTTCCAAACTCAGGTGCCCACGGAACCCAGGTGGAAAGATAAATGGACAAAGCTGGCAGAAGACAAAGGGAACCCAGCTGGAGCCACCTGCAGGATACATGCTGTACCCTCTGCACTGCAGTAAGAAATGGAAAAAGAGAAATCTTCCAAGCTGCATCTTAAACTCACCCTTGAACCCAGAAATGGATCTGCCCTTACAGGAACCACCACAAATGAGAGCTGGGGAGGGAATTTCATCAGCAGAGGAAAGGGAAATGGATCCTCGCAGGCAAGAGCAACACATGTCCTCCGGCTGTAGGCGGAGTGTCAGGCAGAGGGGAACACAGGTGCAGGCCCCTGGCAGGAAAAGGCTCGACTGTGTGCTGTAAGATTTGATGCTGGCTTTGGGGAAGGAAAGCTAGCTGGGACTGGGCTGGCTCCAGACCACAAAATGGTAGGTCATTCAGGGTTTGGACTGTGTCCCAAGAGCAATCAGATTCGAGCTGGGAAATGAGATAAGCTTATTTGTAGTTTAGATCCAGCCAACTGCAGGAAGATGTGTCTCGGGGCCAGTGTGGCTGCCAGGAGCCAGGACAAGGCCATTCAGGAAGGCTCGCACATGGGTTGGGAGATAAAGGAGTGCACCAGGACACATGGGGCTGCTGAGGCCCCAGCAGAGGGGCCCAATAGGTTCCAGGAAGGGGACGAATTGAGTGTGGCTGTGGAGAGTCCTCTGCTCCCCTGGTGCTCTCCCATCCAGGGGACCACACTTCCTCCTTGCCTAGCCAGCCTGGTGCTGGGCTTGGCTCTTTTCCTTGGGTTGCCTCATGTTCACCATAAGCCCATTTGACAAATGTACCCATCGCATCAGTTTGCCAAAGGAAAGTGGTGGCTGCTATAAGCATATGATGCATCCATGCAGCTCGTGGATACATAAAAGCAAGTGGTGACTGAGGGTCCTGGGCAGCGGTGCACATCCTGGTGCTCAGTTGGTGTCTAATCTTGTGGCCAAGGAAACTGAAGCTTTATGAAGTCAAGAGAGCTTCTCAAGGTCACACCACAGACCATTGGTGAGGCAGGGCTTGAAATGTGTAACTCACTCATGCAAAAGAGTCTATTGACTCTTTTGCTCAGGCTAGAATACTGCCAGGCAGTATTCTAGATGTGGGATATAAAACAATAAATAAAAAAACATCTAGATGCTGTTCTAGAGTGCCTTTGGGTGGAGGTGGGAAAGAGACAATAGAAAAAACTAAGGAAATACCCCCTCATGAGCACCAGGGGGCACTGCGGCCACGCCGCCCTCCTTTCCTTCCCGCTCCTGCCTTCGCTCCCCCCTTTGGGGACTCCAAAACCACAGCCTCGATGGCCGGGAATACCAAGTATAGCATCCGGTCAAGAAGAAAGCTAAGGAGGAGTCTGAAAACCACCATCTAAATTGTTCCACCCATTTTTCCAGCTGAATCCTGTCATCAGATCCTCATTAGCTGTCTAAGGTAGTTCAATGACTTTAACCCCAGTGTGGTGGCTTATGCCTGCAAACCCAGCACTGGAGATCTAGGCTGAGACAGAAAGACTGTGGCAAATTTGAAGCCAGCCTGGACTACATAGTGAGGACTCCTCCCCACCCAAAAACCAGAAAACAAAAAAACCCACAACCTTTTCAAAGCTCTGTGAGCTCCAGATTCACTGGGGCCTCAGATTCTCTCTCTGGCACACACACACCCATTGCATACCCACTGACCTTGACTGTCCACTCAGCTTCTCACTGTCCACCTTCTTATCTACTGGCCTGCCTGGCCACCATCAAAGCCACCCCTACTTCTGGCTGCCCTCCTGCCCCTCACCTATCTTGCCCACCCAGTTCTGCCTCCTTTTCCATTTCTCTACTTCCCCCTTCCCCAGCCCACCAGTGATGCTGCAGAAGCCCAGAGCTCAGGTGCTCGGTCTGAGGATCAAGGACAGTGCGAGGTCAAACCTAATGATGGTATTAGTGAATG